TGCTGACTGTCACATATATGTTGACTGGCCAAACGAACAACAAAGTCTCCTTCGACCTCCCCTAAAGTTGCTCTGGTGAGTTTCCTTTTATGTATTCATCCATATAAGGCCATCGAAGGCCATCCACTTTCCATGCTCCTTCCTTCTGCCCACCACCATGCCCCCGCCCAATAGACAGCCACCCCCAGACGCCATTGTCCTCTGAGATTCTTATCCCCACTTCTACTTTCCCCTCGCTTAATAGTGACTCCACTGCGTGCTCACTTAGCGCAGTACGTCGCAAGGTGCGTGAGTAGTAATTTCTCTCGCATTAGCACTGTAGTTGACTACTCATATGCACGGCAGCCGCAGCACCGACTTCCACCTGCCTGCACGGCTATGCGAGGGTCCTGTAATGCAGGAGAACAGTGCAAATACACAAGGTCCATTGATGCTGTCCTACCTAAAGCGTGCCTCAGACTCAGGCTCTTTTTGTCACTCGCAGACATCCGCATATGGTACGTGACATGCATATATGCGCTCGATTGCTTATAACTGACATGCATAGGCCCTCGTAAGACATTTCCGCTCACTCAGCAAGCTAAACCCTTCTACCCTGTGGTTTCACTCGCATACTAACGCCATTCTTAGTAGCTGTATATGGCCCACTCTCTCGTGCTCCGGGACCCACACAAAGCCCTCGCAGTAGGCATAGCAGTCTGCAGGTAGTTTCGTACATGAGAACTTATGCACACGACTCATTCAGGGTTCGCTTTATGCACGCTGTGCACCAACTGTGTAGCCGTTGCGCCGGGAGCCGCTTGTTGGCTGATATCATGTTTGCATGCGACGCGACTCGGAGGGCATTATCGTCTCGATACTGCCATTTTATGCAACCTATACTTTGTATTCTATAAACCTCTATGAATATATTTCTCGCCGCTCCTAATTTCAATGTGCAAATCAGTCCCGAATATTTTTGAATATCCAACGAATTGTTGAGAGCGCTCAGGCAAGTGCTGCCAGCCTGGCGCTCCCTGGTAATGCATTACCAACCTTACCCGAATGGTAAAGGTCCCCAGACTGGTAAGCTTTAGTTATCATACAGGTGAGATATCTACCTTGGCAAGCCTATTCTCATAATGATTACCTTTATAAGCGAGATTAGCTTTGCCAGGGCTGTTCAGGCTAGGTAAGCTGCTGATTTTTTTGCTGATGATGCGAGTTCGAGATTTATCATCTATGCCGCCGCCCAGTTCCAGTTTGGCGACGTTGCACTTTAGTTCGCGCTCGTGCATGCGCGTACACGTACGCTCATGTCTGTGCATCTGCGTGCATTTTTGGGCACTCTCAGGCAATATGTTGCATGGGTGCTCACCTCTCAAATGAAAACGAGTTTTTGCATGTTTCTAGTTTACAACATGCTGATTTTTGTCCATGCCCAACCTTCATACAGCTGTGTAAATTTCATCTGTCACATGCCATACAGTTATCCACTGCTCCTTGATACACCACCATTCCTTGATACAGTGTGCAGTTCAAAGCTTTCAGGGTGTCTTAAATTAGCAGAAAAATCATGGTATGTGTATCCTTTCTGGAACTCTTGCAGAGTGATGCTAGAACATGAGGGAGCATGTATTTTATGCTGGAGCTGGAAAAGTATGTTGATGTCACATCAAGACATAAAAACGATCTACAGATAAATCATATCCTGCGTCGTACCATTCATTTATGGGTGGGGGTATGGAACCCCAGCCGCCTTCAGAGCCGCCGCCTTCAGCGCCACAAAGTTTGGGGTGCCCAGGCCAGTGACAGGGTCCCAGCCCTCCAGAGCTGGGAAGCCATTCGTGTTGCATCCAGGGTTGCTGCCGGTCGTGATGTCGTTGAACGCATCAGGGGTCGCGTACAGGAATGGGTTGAGGAAGCCGAGCGCGCTCTTGTTAGCAGCGATGAGCGCGTCGTTGATGAGCGAGATCGCTCCGGCGAAGACGGGGGTCGAGATGCTCGTGCCGTTTATTGTCTGAATCGTGCCGTTAACGACGATTGTCACGTTGATTCCGACCGCCGAGAC